AGTGAGAGAGAGAGAGAGAGAGAGAGAGAGAGAGAGAGAGAGAAAATATAGATAGATAGAAAGGAAAAAAAATGAAAAAAAAATCAAAAAAATGTAAGCTATTTTATATTTAGTGTTTTCGATTTCTGTCAATAAAAATTTTTATGTTTATATATTTTCCTTTCTTGTGATATTTTTGATTGAAGGGAATTTTTTTCATAATACAAAAAAAAACATTGAAGAATTTTAGGAAAAAAAATGATAAATTTCTTTCTTGTGTTTATCAAACTGGAAAATTACATTTAAAAAAAATGTTGGATACCCCTCTGATTGAGCTTAATGATGATGATAATTTTAATGTTGATAAACACCAAAAAAAAGCTGGTTATTTCTGGTCTTTGCTGTTGTTGATGATGATGATGATGATGAGTGTATCATTAGATCTTGAATAAACAAAAAAATATTGCTGAATCGGCTTTTTTTCATTTATAATTCGAATTCAAATTAAACAAGAAGAAAAAAAATATTACGAAAGTTTTAAGTTTCAAAGTATAATTCAGTTTGAGGCTTTTTCCTAGAAAAAAAATTATCTAGATTTTTTTTTCATTTGGTTTTGTAATCATCATTATCATTGAAGGATTTTTTTTCGGGGGGATGAATTTTGTTTTTGGTTGCAGTTGTTGTTGTTTTCTTTCATTCAATAGGTTGTTGTTGTTGTTTTTGTTGTCATCGTGATCCATCATTTGAATTGTGCCTGTATTATCATTATCGATTATTTATATTTTGAACTTGAAAAATAAATAAATAAATAAGAAATTGCACAAGTTTTGCACTTGTTGTTTGTGTATAAGAGAGTGTTAATTTACATTTCTAATTTCTAAACAAAAATTCTTCTAGAAAATTCTAATCAAAGATATTAGGGATGATTTTTCTGTTTTTGTTTTGTTGTTGTTGTTGTTTACAAATCAAAGATTTAATCTTGTTTTTCTAAAGAAGACAGCATCAACAACAACAACAACAAATGCACCTGTATGGTGTGCATGGGGGAAGGAAAAGATGATGATGATGACAATCAAATTTTTTTTTGTTTTTGCTTTTTTTCAATGATCAAAATCATCATCATCATCTTCGGTAGACATTCAACAACTACAACAACAAAAAAATGATTAATGATTTGTCATCGACATCATTATCATCGTCATCATCATCGATCGACATCGTAATTTGATTTAAATCTATTTTCCATTTTGTTTGATTGAATCAAACAAAATGGTGAATACACGGAAGAATTTGCTACTGATACTTGTTTTTTTCAATCAATCAATCAACACAAGTTGAATTAATACTATCGATGTGTTTAATCATCATCGTCATCCTCAATAGGAAAAAGAAATTGAAAAAATAAAAGTACTTTTTCAATTTCTATCAGATGATCAAATGATGATCATTTGAAGTTTATATATGTTTGTCAAATTTATTTTGATTTTTTAACATTTTTGATTCAATGAATTACATTAATTAATTAATTTAATTTGACGTCATCATCATCATCATTATCATTGACAAAATAACAAGATTTACAGAATCAATCAGACAGTTTTCAATGAAAAACATTTTTTTTTCTTCTGAATTTTAAATGAATATAAAAAAAATCTTTTTGAAAAAAATCTTTCATCTTGGTGTTTATGTTTTGTTATCGCTGATGTTTGATGTTTGAATTTAAATTTTAAATTCAAAAAAAAAAATGTAAAAAAACAAAAATTTTCTCAGGTATTTAAAAATGTTGTTGTTGTTTGCTGCCCGATAAAAGCGCCCAAACAAAAAAAACAGAAAAATGTTCAATAAATCAATCACTCATTCATTTTCCCCTGTCTGTTTCACTTACATCCTAAAAAAGTATTTTGCAAACAAAAAAAAGAAATTTTCACATAACATTTAAAACCGAAAATCATCATCATTTTTTTGGATATGATCATAAAATGAACTGAAATCAATGTTATTTAATAGATGTTTAACATCACACACATACATTGGAATAAATGAATAAATGATGAATCAATCAATCAATCAATCAGATTTTTTGTTTTTGTTTTCGATATAGAGTGGAACAATATCGTTACGAGATGAGATAATTTATTACGAGTTTTTTTTCTCATCCGTTCCACACACGTGTAATGTATAAAATATTGGCACGTGTTGTTTTTTTGGTAGTGTTTTTCATTATTAATTATTAACAGTAGATGAAAAACAAAAATGAATTAATGTCTGAATGAATGAAGATTGATTCAATAATGATAATGAGAATTATTTGCCAATGAATCAAACCTGACCTAGCCTAGTAATGTACTGTCGTCATCGTTATACATATCGTCGTTATCTTTCTATCCTGACTATCTTGACCTGACCAATCCTTTTCAATCATTTTTTACTTTTCGTTTCGTTTTTATTATTGTTGTTGATTCATTATTCAGGTGATGGTTTTTTTTCATTTCATTTCATTTCACTGTTTGATGTATCAATGATTCTCAAACAATGGTATGATGATGATCAAAATCGAAACTAATCCATAAAAAACAAAAACAAAAAAAATCTTTCAAGAACACAAAATAAGAGTGAAACATTAATGCAATTGGGAATGTTATGGAGCAAACAACAACAAAAAGAAGATGAAAAACAACAACAACATTATCAATATGGAAATAACATAATTTACTTTTTACTATTATTATTATTATTCGTTGTTATTGTTGTTGTTGTTAAAGAAATTCATCATTTTCATTTCGTTTTTATTATTATAAGCAAATATAAATTACTTACCAGTTTGATGTATTGGATTTTAATTAGTTCATTATAAAGATCTGACGATGAAAATGCAGATGAAGAAGAGCGAGAATGAAATGAACTTTTTCATTTGGTGATGGTGGGGAGAAGGATATGAAAATGATGAATTATCTCAAAGGCCAATCATCATTAATTGATGCGCTTGAAAATCTTTTACAAAAAAAAACAAAACAAAAGAAAACAAAATTAAAAAATTTGATTAAAAAAATTTTAAAAAACAAAACAAAACAAATAATGAAACAAACAAACAAAAAAAAACTCGATTGTATTCGAAACAATACAATCGATTATTTCGTTCGTCCATTCGTTCATTACGTTCGATTTGTTTGTTTTTCGAATCCAATAAAAAACAAAACAATCGATATCTACAATGTGTAAAAAGTAAACACAATCGATATTTATGATATGATGAGGATGTCTACCGATATCTTGTGAAAATTTTTTCGTTAGACAAAAAGAAGAAAAAAACATTATCACTTTTTATGGCGATGATGATGATGATGATGATAAAATATAAATTAAATTGATCTTTGCTTTTTTTTTTTTGATTGTTTCTTGCACTTTTTCGGGGCCTAACTTTTCACACTTGATCGATTTTTTTCCTTGTTGGAAAAAAGTTCAAAGGTCAAAGGAAATTAGAAAATTTTAATTTTTTCAAATTTTGGATTCCGGTCTTGGTTTATCATTAAGTTGTACAGGTGTGCATCAGGTTTTTTGTTGACTGACCGAATCAATTTTTTTTCATCATTCACCATCACCATTATCATTCGATTCAATTCACAATTTTTTTTTTTTGATATTCGTATGCGAAAAAACACAAATTTTCACAAACTGTGACGATGTGAATTTTTTTTTTGTTGAAAATTGAACCGAAGATAACCAAAGAAGAAAAATCACATCATTCGAATCAGGATTTTTTTTCTTTGGTTTGAAGTTGCAAAATACAGAAAAAAAACTGTAAAAATCAACACAAATCAAATGATGATAAAGTGTGAAGAAACTTCATCATCATCATCAACATCATCATTGTGAAAACAAAAACCAAAACGAAACGAAAAAAAAAATTTCTATTTTTGGATAAAAATATCAAGAAAATGAATTTCTATTTATGAATTTTTTGATGATGATCATCATCATCACAATCATCACAAACATTCATCGATGTTGTTTGTTTGGTTGTTTGGTCTACAACTTGAAGATTATTCTTATTGTCGAAAATAAGAAGATGCCAAAACAAAACAATATTGATTTGATCTGACCAATCATCATCATAATCATTCATTGAGGTTTTTTTGTTCAATCTTTAATTAATCTTTTCTTTTCGTATATTTGTTTTTGGCTTTTCGGCTTTTTTT